GTGTGTGTACAGTGTGTGTGGCTTTGACCACTCATGGTTGAGTGGATCCTTGTGTCTGGCCACCACTGAACATGACAAACGACGCGTCCAATGTGTCCAGTCCAAAGGGGGACATATAGACCATTGCTTCTCGGAATTCCAGAATTTAACAAATATTTTGGAACTCTGTAGGAGAAAAGAAGTATTGTTGAAAGGTTACAAGGATGGAAACTTTACATTTTATAAATATAAGGATATGAAAAAATCAAACCAGTCATTTCATGACTTTCCTTACAAGATCTTTTAATTTGGTGCATTTTGCGTTATTAGGAGGCTTTTATAAAAGCCATTTCCATTTTCAAAAATATGTTTTTTCTTTGTGAATTTTCTGTCAAACAAATTCCCTTTGAAGGAATTATAGATCTATCTATTTCAAAGATATTTAGAAAAAAAGTTGTACTGTTTTTTTGGATCACCCTGTTCTTAATTATATTAATATCAATGATTCTCTCTCTTTCTGTCCTTTTCTCTCTCTGTTTTTCTGTCTCTCTCTCTCTTTCTCTCTGTCTCTCTGTCTGTCTCTCTCTCTTTACAAAATCTACAAGTGAATGCACAGCTCACCTATGTCAGTCAGATCCATCCTTCCCTCTCTGGAAAGATCAACAGAAAAAGTCAACAATACGTAAACATCAAAACAAAATAGTTCCCGTAAGTTTTCTTTGACCTTGAGCACAAGACCACATACGTAGCAACCACGAATACGCTCGAACCAAACAGAAATCCCGAACACATAGACGCATGGGTCAGACACAGAAAGAAGGAAAGCTAGAATCTACAGAGAGGTCAACGAATAGAGAGATACAAGGGCTGACCAAAACCTACGCAGAAAACAGTCAACGCGAAAAATGTGATGGCTTTTATATGAACATACTTTTGACGGGCCTCAAAGGGGATAAAACATTCACAGGAACTATCGTGTAAAGTAGGGGTAGAACATTCACAGGAACTATCATGTAAAGTAGGGACAGAACATTCACAGGAACTATCATGTAAAGTAGGGACAGAACATTCACAGGAACTATCATGTAAAGTAGGGGAACAAAGTTACTATCATGAGGCAAAATTTTCCTTCAGACAAACTTACATTGATTATTCAGGGGCCATTTCCCCTTTGCTTTTTGGTCAAACTTCACATATACACAGATAACAAGACATACAGACAGACAGACATACAGACAGACAGACAGACAGGCAGACAGACAGACAGGCAGACAGACAGACAGACAGGCAGACAGACAGACAGGCAGACAGACAGACAGGCAGACAGACAGAAACAACAGAAACATAGCCATCAACAGATGCACAGACAACTACACAGACATGTAGACAGACACAGAGACCACGGGAAAAGGGCCCTTATGTCCACAGAATCTGCGCGTCGCTCACACTGGTGGGGTGGGAGGTCGGCGCACTAGGAAGTCCCACAGGTACACAGCCTCCCCGCCACTGACCAGCCCAAGGCCGTCCGGGGTGAAGTGGACGCGGCTCACGTTCTCGCTGTGTCCGATGAACACCTGACGGGGGAGACAAAGGTCACAGGAAATATATATATATATACAGGGAAATAAAATATATATACAGAGAAATAAAATATATATACAGGGAAATAAAATATATATACAGGGAAATAAAATATATATACAGAGAAATAAAATAGATATACAGGGAAATAAAATACATATACAGGGAAATAAAAAAAATATATACAGGGAAATAAAATTGATATACAGAGACCAGAATGTATAACTTCCACCGTCGTACTACTGTGTCAGGTGACCAGAACGTATAACTTCCACCGTCGTACTACTGTGTCAGGTGACCAGAATGTATAACTTCCACCGTCATACTACTGTGTCAGGTGACCGGAACGTTTAACTTCCACCGTCATACTACTGTGTCAGGTGACCGGAACGTATAACTTCCACCGTCATACTACTGTGTCAGGTGACCAGAACGTATAACTTCCACCGTCATACTACTGTGTCAAGTGAGCACAAACAGTTAAGTGAGTCACTGAACGGAGCCAATCCTTACCTGAAAGTTGATGTCCAACTTCATGTCGTAGTCCCAGATTTTGATGGTTTTGTCCCCGCCTGTGGCCAGGTATTTGCCACAGTCTGAGACCGTCAGCGCGCTGCAGGCAGAGCGGTGAATGTGATCCACCTTGGCAAGTACCAGATCGTAGAGGGGAAAATCAGAAGACATGAAATGAGAAAAGTTTGCAAAAGAATATAACGATCAAACTCATATCCCCACTGGTTTTTATTTTCCAAGACAAGGGGAGCTCAGTTCATGCAGAATGCTTGATGTACAGTATTTTCTCCATTAATTATATCACAAAAAGAGACAACAATTTCCTAATTCCCCAAAGTACAACCTGAGCATAATATTAATAAAGTGTTCCAACGGCAAAGGTCAAAGGTCATCATATATATCAGTACCTCACATATCTACTTATGGGCTGCACACAAAGTGAATTACTTTGACAACTGTTTCAAACCTCATGATACAAAAAGAACACAATTTAAGAAAAAATCTGCATCACAAATCCGACAGAACGACTGTGTGGATCAACAAAGAAGGAAAAGCCCCAAGAAAAAAAATAATTAAAAAAAAAAAAAGTTTACGGCTAATCCTTGATGTTTTCATCTACTCAACTACAGCGACACTCTCCTCTGATCACTACATCACTGATGTGTCCATTTACCGTCGACTCAACTACAGCGTCACTCACCTCTGATCACTACTCCAATGATGTGTCCATTTACCGTCGACTCAACTATAGCGACACTCACCTCTGATCACTACACCACCGATGTGTCCATTTACCGTCGACTCAACTACAGCGACACTCCCCTCTGATCACTACTCCAATGATGTGTCCATTTACCGTCGACTCAACTACAGCGACACTCACCTCTGATCACTACACCACCGATGTGTCCATTTACCGTCGACTCAACTACAGCGACTCCCCTCTGATCACTACATCACCGATGTGTCCATTTACCATCGACTGACACAAAGCGACACTCACCTCTGATCACTACTCCAATGATGTGTCCATTTACCGTCGACTCAACTACAGCGACACTCACCTCGCTGACCAGACGTCCCGAGCGAGCGTCGTATTTGACCAGCTTGTTGTTGGCCGTGCTCACGAGCAGGTGGTCCCTGCGGGTCGGGGTGAAGGTCACTCGCTGGGCAGAGTCCAGATTGGGGGTATGGCCCGATCCAGAGCCCACGCTGGACACGTCAATCCTCACCAGCTGTACAGATAGAAGCAGGTCATGGGTCATGAGGTTATAGGTCATAAATCACTGCACAGACAGACGCAGCATGAGGTCATAGGTCATAGGTCACTGCACAGACAGACGCAGCATGAGGTCATAGGTCACTGTACAGACAGAACCAGCATTAGGTCATCCACACATTTGTTCTCATCATCCACACTTTCCCCCACCTCATCCACACATTTGCCTCCTCTAACCTCACCATCAACATTTTCCCCCACTCTCACCTGTCACCATCCACACTTTCCCACACCTCATCCACACATTTGTTCTCATCATCCACACTTTCCCCCACCTCATCCACACATTTGTTCTCATCATCCACACTTTCCCACACCTCATCCACACATTTGTTCTCATCATCCACACTTTCCCACACCTCATCCACACATTTGTTCTCATCATCCACACTTTCCCACACCTCATCCACACATTTGTTCTAATCATCCACTTTTGTGAGGCAGTGCGGTGGAATCAGGCTCTCGTCAATTTTTGGGCATATTGATTTATTGGTATCATCTTAAAGCTTGTTCATTTGTCTTTCTTTTAATGAAAAAATTATCCATCCATCTTCAATAAAAGTGGAGATATTTCGGATCGAAGGAGGTGGGGGTCACCTGGTTTAAGAAGTAAAATTAGGGAGAAAATGGCCGCCAAAGCTTGGTAAATTCCAAAGCTGGAGTGTCCATGGAAACTGTAAATTTATATTTTTGTGACTTTAATCAATGTTTTTCGGTGAAATCCTCCAAGGAATGTGTTTGTAAATGGACATAAAAAGTGTTGAGCCAAAAAAACAAAAATTTGATAAAAATTGCTAAGCAGGGAGAAAACTGCTGTTTTCTTCGATTTTATTATTTTGACGAGAGCCTGATTCCGCCACGCTGCCTCACATTTTCCCCCACCCCTCACCTCGTCCAGACATTTGGCGTCTGCGATGGTCACCGTGTACTGACTGGGCCCGATGAACGCGACGCGTCGACCGCATGGGCTGACTGCCAGAGCCTGAGGTCCGAACCCCTCCCCTCGCGCCACCAGCCCCGCGATCACACGCAGCACCTTGTAGCCGGGCGTGCAGGCGTCAAAGATGGCCGCCACCCCGAGGGAGCAGCAGCTGTAGAGGCGGGCACCGTCGGGCGAGAAAACCAAGCCCGTCACTTGTCCTCGCAGCTGTCTGCAATCAGTGGATGGACAATCAGTGGATGGACAATCATTGGATGAACAATCATTTGATGAACAATCAGTGGATGGACAATCAGTGGATGGACAATCAGTGGATGGACAATCATTGGATGAACAATCATTGGATGAACAATCAGTGGATGGACAATCAGTGGATGGACAATCAGAGGATGGACAATCAAAGGATGAACAATCATTGGATGAACAATCAGTGGATGGACAATCAGAGGATGGACAATCATTGGATGGACAATCAGAGGATGGACAATCATGACATGAATAATATGACATATACTGCACTTTGAACGTGATGCAACAGAGAGGAAGGTAATCTGGACATGTACAACTACAACAACAACAACAGCTACAACTACAACAACAACAACAACTACAATAACAACAACAACAATAACAACAACTACAACAACAACAACTACAATAACTACAACAACAATAACAACAACAACAATTACAACAACAACTACAACAACAACAACTACAACAACAACAACAACAATAACAACAACAATAACAACAACAACAATTACAACAACAACTACTACAACAACAACTACAACAACAACAACAACAACAACAATAACAAAAATTACAACAACAACTACAACAACAACAACAACAACAACAACAACAACAACAACAAAGCTACCGCCACTACCTGTGCTCCGCCACCAGGCTGGTGTTCTCCACGTTGAAGACTCGAACCGTGCCGCTGTGGAAGCCACAGGCAAACAGCTGTCTGCTCGGGTGGTAGTTGATGGTCACCGGCGTCTCGTCGGGCGCGCTGAAGTCGTACAGCTGGCGAGACAACATCACTGTTGGTTACTTCTGGGTTTGTTATTTCTGCGTTTGTTACTGGTGGTAATTTCTCCAAGTTTAACGTCTATCTCCAAAAGGACCAAGCCAGGTGGGAAATTCGTGTAAAGTGCCTTTCCCAAGGACACAACGTCGGACTGAGCTGAGGCTCAAACCCCCGAACCTGCAATCTCACAATTACGTGTCCGGTAGCCTGACCACTAGACCACCGACGACACTTGTGGTCTGAATCGTGTAACACACACAGTATAATGTATACATACACAACCACACACACACACACACACACACACTCAAACACACACACACACTCACACACACTCAAACACACACTCACACACACACACTCACACACAGTAGGCCTACAATGTATGTAGGCTGTTGAAGAGTGAGAATACAGAGCTAGATCCACACAGGGGAGAGAAACAAGAGCCATGATGTGTGTGTGTGTGTGTGAGTGTGTGTGTGTGTGTGTGTGTGTGTGTGTGTCAGTGTGTGCGCGTGTGTGTGTGTGTGTGTATGTGCGTGTGTGTGTGTGTGTGTGTGTATGCAAGCATATGTGAGCATGCGTGCGTGTGGGGGAGAGATGGAAAGCTAACAAAAAAACTCACCCAAACAACCTTGGAGCCAAAATATCCCAAAGTTGGGGGT